TTATTATTTACTAAACATTAGCAAACCACAAATTATGAGCCACTTTTTCCTCTTTTTTTATTTACTGCCACTGATTGTTACCATGAAAAAATGGCTCTTAGAGGGAGATTTACTAAGCCTGTTGCAAATTACTGTCTGAAATTGTACATTACCACAGTTTTTGTTTAGATTTTGTGGGTTCAATTTAAATTTGAAATAAGTCAGTTTTAAATTCTGTGAATTGTCTAACCTTTTAATTATATTAATTTAAGAGTAAACTTTAAACTGGCCTGACACTACAGACCAGTTTAAAATAGCTTTATCAAACTCTGTTCAGCCGAAATGTCCAGTACAGTATGAGTAAATACTGTACACAGTCACATACAACTGGTCAAATATTGATCAAATAATAAATTGGAGCTGAAAATCCATGCTTTAAGGGGAATTCTATGGCAAGAGTACAACAGCATAAGCACAATGAACACCACCAGATACAAATGAAGCCAATCAGAATCATTTACCTCATTCTTCTGGACACTTCCTAGAGTTGGCCACCTGACCAAACTCGGTAACCGCGCAAGGAGGGCCTTGGTCAGGGAGGTGGCCAAGAACCTGAAAGAGATGGATGACCACCTCAGGAGCTCTCCACCAATCAGGCTGTTATGGTTAAGAGCTAGGTAGGACCCAATGTGCAGACACACAAGGCAAGGGAAGGTTCAAGCAGGGCTTTATTAAATAATAGAGAACGAGACTAAAAGGGAAAAATACATAGGCTCATCCTGACAGGGAGAAACAAAGAAGTCCAAAATGCAAATCTAAGTCAGTAGATCAGGGAGCAGGGTAAGAAACTAAAGCAAGACTGGAGAAACTAAAAGAACTGATAACATGCCAGGGCCACAGACAGCCTCAAACTTACAAGAGTAAATGAACAAGCAGGGTGTGGTGAACGGCGATAACAAGCAAAGGACGGGCAACAAGGCATGGAGACAAAATGAACCAGCAAGCAGACTGAGGGAAGGAAGGAGGATATATAGACAGGATACCAGAGGATAACGAGCAGCAGGTAGAAACCATGAATGGTGATTGTGAACTGGGGTAAAGCTGGGGCAAGTAAGCCGACATAGGACAGGAAGTCTAACCAAAAATAAAAGCACAAAACAGGATGCAGGACACAAACCACAACACAGGCCTTCATCGTAGAGTCACTAGACACAAGCCATGTTGAATAAAAGACACATGACAGCTGCTTGGAGTTTGTCAAACAGCATTTAAAGGACTTTGGGAGCATGAGGAAAACATTCTGTGGTCTGAGGAAACAAAAAATCTTTGTGCAAAACTTCAAGCACTATTTGAAAACCACCTGGCTAATATCATCCCTATGGTGAACTATGATAGTGGCAGCGTCATACTGTGGAAGTGTGGAGCATGAGAAGGTCTACCAGGAAGAATGGTGGTTTTCCTCATTTTCTGCATTTCCATGGAAAGGTCATTATTCTGCTTGTATTTTCACCTGCTGGTAAATGTACAGTCCATATTTGCTATGCAAATATTTGTCATGACGCTTATTTTGCCTGCTTAGTGAAGCTGAGTAACTTGTGAAATCCATTTTTGTTTTTTTAATGCTGACAAATAGAGCACAGAAATGAGAAAATGGAAAAATGATTCATCATAGAGTGGGTCAGGAATGAAGGCAAATACTGAAGATGATGCTAAAAATGGTATGTTATATGAGATTGTGCCTGTGTTTTAGTCATTGTAGACAGTGTGCCAGTGTTTTAGTATCTGTGAGGCAGATTGGTATAACACAGATGGGGATTTTGTGGGATCCCACATCTCCAGGACAAACATGGAGCTGGATGTGGAAAGCCTCATCTTAAGGCCTGTTGAGGAGGAACTGGACACACGCACACAGCAGACTTTGTGTTTCAGTCCAGTAATAATACAGTGGCTTTTAGGATCTCTGGGAAGAAATAAATAAGGCTCTCGTTATACTCTCAAATTATTCCACAGTATGCACTGAAGAAATTCCACATTTAGCCAATCAGTAAGTGGGTCAGCAATACAGTCTATTCAGGTGCATATAGCAAAATGTTCCTGGTTAATATTCATGTAGTACTCATTCTTATTAATTAGAAACCAGATGTATATAGGTCCCTGTAGTACTTGTGGCTAGCCCAAGATTATGCATATTCAAACTCATTTAAACTGCTATTTGATCTCACAAAAAAGTGGCTTTAGGGACCCTAAGGGGACTCCTAGCAAACCCAAAGTATGGTTAAGCCTTAATGTCCACTGAATGAGGTACTTTCCAGCTCCACCACTGCTGGCAGAGATGATCAGCTGCCACTCTAGACAGTGTGCTAATGTCTGACTGATGCTCCACTCTGCCTTTCTTTATTCTTTGTGTCCACTGGATGTATCACTGTCAACAAGTCCACTGGTATTTAAGAACAGAGCACCTTCAAGCAGGCTGTTCTTCAACAAACACATTTCCAGTTAGTTGTTAGTTATTTTATGAAAGCTAACCTCGTATTCTACAAGCAGTGAACACACATTTGCAGCTCATTTCTGATTTGTGACTGTGCTGTACAGTGGAACCTCGGTTTTGTTTTTGTGATTAATCCGTTCGAAAAAGTCAGACGAAAACTGAAGCAATATTTCCCATAAAAAATAATGTAAATCCAATTAATCCATTCCAGACATCCAAAAATATTAACAAAAAATACATTTTATAGAGAATAACTATATTTTTACATACAGAAAACAATGAGAAATAAATATAAATGACTAATGAAATCACTTTTACCTTTATTGAAGACTCTTTTTGGCATATGGAAGACAGCGAGGAGGGGAGAGGGAGGAGGGGAGGTTATTGTTTGGAAGGGGAATCTCCCTCCATAAGGACTTCATGTATCAAGGCCTAATCTGGGGTCACTTGTCTTCACTCATTTCTTCCAGGAAATGAGTGGCAGAGTCACGTGGGCAGGCGGATGAGTTTGGTACGGACTAATGACGCTGAACTGACCAATCAACTGTATGAAAACCGAGCTGATGTACGAAAACTGGGACAAAATTTCAACGAAAAAAGTCGGCGAAAACCGAATCATACGTAAAGTAGGGCATACGAAAACCGAGGTTCCACTGTATTTTAATGTTTCTTGAGAATTTATGGGTGCTGCATTGTAAACTAACAAGTTGGCTTCAGCTCTGCCCACGGTATTTCGATCAGGAGAGTCCAAGAAGGTTGCAACACATGGCTCACTAAATGTTGTATAGAAAAATGGAAAGTAGAAAATTACTTGTTTTTTTTTTTTGTTTTTTTTTTTTACTTGTTTAGGTAGTTTCTCACCATGTGGAGCCAAATTGCATTAGACACAACCAGGACAAAAATGCAAGAGCTGTGATGTTCACGTTCTTTCATAAATGTGTTAACACAATTAGTCTTAATTGGAAAACACAGGTGCGATCATTTCTGTTGCAGTGATCACAGGGAGACTGTCTTTTGTTGCGCTGAGGTTGTATTTTTCAGTCTGGATGTTTGGATTTATACCAAAAAAATCTAATAACCTGTACATCAACTTAAAAGTGATACAGTTACTTGCAGATGGTACAATTTGGATCATTTAACAGTGATTTACTGATATTGCACAGGGTATAGATTGTATATGATATTGCATCACAAACTGTATGTTCACACACAGGTCATCATTGATTGAAGTGATGCCAGTCATAGCCACATAAAATAAAGAAAAACAGTAGTGTAGCAGTATTTTGTGTTTTTATTTTACCGCTTAAGTTATTCACTAACTCAAGTAATTATTTTCACCTTTTCTTCTACTTAAGTAGTTTTCTTTTGTAAGTAGTAGTCTACTTTTGAGTACAGTTTTTGGCTATGATCTGTCAGGTCCAGTCAGTCAAACGTAATGCATACAGGTGGACCATAAATAAGTGTGACCCAAACCGTGAGCTGAGGTGCTGACATAAGGCCTTGTCTGTGTTAAGTCTTCACATGCACATCCTTTATGTCAGAAAAGCAGGACAAGATGTAACTGATCCTGAAGATGAGTGTGTGTGTGTGTGTGTGTGGATTAATTAAGGAAAATGGGGAACCCCTCAGGTGCAGTCATTAATGACTGTTTGGATTAAGATGAAAAAATCAATCTGTGCAGTCACTGAAGGAGGGAGACAGAGAGCTAAGGTTGTAATGGCAATAGTGGCTTCCTCTTGAAAACTTCAACCTCCTGCAGTTCAGGTGCTGACATGCTTCTGGTCTATGATAGATAAACAGCTACTGCAAACATGCTCTCTGGTTCTAATTATTTAAATAAATAATTTAAATTACATAAAATCTAGAGGGCCCTGTGAATAATGGCAGCACATGAACCATCCATACAGTTGTAAATGTAACAGAGAAATCCTACAAACTTGTTTGTGATAAAGGCTGAGACCTGAGAAATAAGACGGGCTTTCATGTTACCCTCATCAGACAAGCTCCGTGCTTCACTCTCGTCTGTGTATTGTAGGAAGACTGTAACATGTTACTTGGCATTAAGACTAAAAAACAGCACTGTGTTAAAACAACACAAGGGTTTGTGTTAGTGTTGACCTGTTGTTTGAAACAATGAGATATGCAGGGAGGATTATATCAATCAGTGATGTTGAAAACAGTAGAAATTAGATTACATTTAGAAACAAAAAGTCAGAGTTATGATTCTGTATCACGTTGATGTTGCTGTTGATGCACTGGTTGTAAAATGGTTGAATGGTTTTATCTGCAGGCTCTTTGGACACAGTGGTGCCTGCAGTGCTTGTGGACAGTCTATACCTGCCAGTGAGATGGTGATGCGAGCACAAGGCAACGTTTATCACCTTAAAGTGAGTGCAACTGCTCCAACATTACCATTACCACATCTTTTAAACTGTTCTGAATGTGCTCATCTTAACAACAGTTGGGTAAAATAACATGAGTGACCATGAAGTCTGTCTGTTTTCTAGTGTTTCACCTGTGCGACCTGTAGGAACCGCCTGGTCCCAGGTGACCGCTTTCACTACATCAATGGGGCTATCTTCTGTGAACATGATCGGCCAGGAGGAGGACTGCTCACCGGACACCAAACTCCATTGCAGGCCAATAGTATGATGCCTGATCAGAAGGTGAGAGGCCATGTGATGCTAGTAGGCATGTCTTTATTGAGCTGCAGTATTATACTGGGCACCAAACAAAACTAGAGAAATGCATTTCCTGTCGAAAATGCGTGTGGATGCTGTGTGCTGAAAGATTGCCCTGAAAATGCTGAATATTTTGACACGTGAAAGGGATATTTACCTGAAAGTATGCTGAAGTACAATTTTCCCATTAATTTAAATGGGGCAAGATTGTCAAAATAAAGCTAAATATTTCAAAAGTATGAAGTTTAGAAATGACTGTCCTTGAAGAGCTGAACATTTTGATACCTGAATGGCTTT